TCGATGTGTGTGTTAGCCGGTTTCTTGTTTTAATTTTTACTAAATTTATTGCGAAAAAACTATTTACATACATAAGTTGTAGAAAAAAACGTTTGAATTTTTGCTGCATACTTCCTTAAGCTTAAGGAAAATTGATATATTTATTCATATTTTATGCGACGCGGGCCGCAAAAAATATTACTACGGGCCGCGGGTTGCCCATCTCTGCTGTAGATCATACTTAAGATTTCAAATCAAAGTCATGATAGCCCAGGTGCAAGAGTAAGATGCTCTACTTATTCGCTGAAATTCTGTTTATTTTACTTTCAAGGAGATAGAAATGAACCAAAACTTTTTCGTATCTTGGGTAGAAGATTTATACTGGTTTTTCAACAAATATTATGTTTTATTCTTCAGCTTTAATTCAGTTTTGACAGTTTTTTCTCAACTCAAATATAGAAATCTATGTAGACTATTAATTAAATTTTTACGACCTTCCTCTTTCTTCTTCTTTTTTTATATAAAACAGATCAAGGTAGAAGTAAGAAATGATCAATTAAGTAAGTAACTTTAAAACTTTAATAATTTATCTAAATCAAATTACACCAACCAATTTCCAGTAAATTTTATCACGTTTCAATACTCAATAAATTATAATTCAATTCTTATTACGTATATATATTTCTTTCGGAAAATTATTTTGAATTGAATTGAATATTGCATTTAAAATTTAAATATACAGTATGTAAATGAAATTCAAAATTGATGTTCTTTTCTACAGTTTTTATAGTATCAAAAAAATGTAAATTTATAATTTAAACATATCAAAACAGTATGTTAATTATTAATAAACAGATTATAAACAAATATATCGAAAATGGATCATTTATTCCTCGTAAATGATAAAAATAATAAGAACTATTTCTGTAAGGATAAGATTGTTAAAATGTTAAAACTTCATAAAACTCATACGAACGACATAATATCGGAAAAATGCAATAAAATTGTAATAAAACAATAGTGTGTGTCAACATTTCCAGTAATTTTTAAAGCATTTTAAGTATTTAAGATTTAACTTAGTTTGGATCTACTGGCTCAGAAAATCTCCGAATAACATGCATTGACAAAATTACAGTAGCCCCTCGTTATATAGCGCTTGTTGGGAGACAGAGAAAAACGCGATATAACCGAGTACTAAAAATTCTGGGTTTATACTAAATAGATTATACATGCTTTGGAATCTCTCCTCTATTCTTTCATCAGCAAGTGTTTCTGATATAAAATAAACTTAGTTTTTCAATACTGAATTTTATTCATGGTTATATTGTATTATTAAATGACGTTTACGTAAACATCTATACCACGAGCGCTCATTTAGCGTTATTCTTTCTTTAACAATGACATTTAAAGACAAGCACTGTGATAACAAAACAAAATATCAGTTACGATTTTATTATACAGTACTATATTTCACAATAAACCTCTTATTAAAAATTCATATAATTTATATTTTTCAATAAAAATACAGTAATTGAAAATTTAAAAAATAAATATTGAATATATAATAGAACATCAAAACTATAAAATTACAAAAAATAAAAACTATAAAAAGCAAAGTAAAGTTACTAATGTATAAAAATGCTAGAACTTTCCGTTCAAAAATAAAGAAATTTTTTCCTTACACATTCGGCTGTGAATTTGAAATTTTACATCTTTATGTGAATTGACTGTAGGCAATACCGTCAATTCACATAAAGATGTAAAATTTCAAATTCACAGAAACATGTAAATGAGGAGACAGTAATTAAAACCAATAAATAAACACTATAATAATAGTTATCAATTATTACAAATTTTGTTTAATGTGGAATCATTTTGATTAATAATACTTACATTATATTTTATACTAGATAATATAAAATTCTTAAATCGTCTTTAGTAATTTTCTGTATATCTTTCTGCTTTTTTGTACTTTACTGTACATATATATTGATTTTGTATATGTATTATTATTTATTGGTTTTATCTTATTTGTACATGCTACAACAAGCACAATTGCGAAAAAGTATATCAAAGATGATGATTGATAAAACTTTTATTACGCTATTAGTTTCAGATAAAACAGCGTATGGATAAGTTGTGTATTCCGAATGAGTATTAATATTTTTAAAAGTTGAGTATTAACCATATTAATACTTAACTTTATATATCATTTATCATTAGAATTTTATCACCGAGGTTTAAAAATAATCTTTTCATCAACAGTAAGATTATTTGGACACCAGAGGTTTACAGAAAAAATAAATCTTTCGAAATTTAGATATCATTAAATAAATAAAGCTCTAATAACAAACTTTTATGAAAAAGTTGATGTTATCATGAATTCTCAAACTTTAAATGAATAGTTTTTGAGAGGATAAAAGGAATTTACGAGATTTTATTAATTTACACAAATAATAATCTTAATTTAAAGGATACATAAAAATTCTATTAACGTTTTAATAAGTATAAAATACAAATATTTAAAGTAGAATCGAAAAAATAGTGTCATTAACACGAAGGTAATTATCACCGGTGTAGTCGAGGAGATTGGGTATTTTTTCCGGACACGGAGAAAAGTTAGGGGCCCGTAATGGTTCCTATCACACTAAAAGTAATGTTACTTTTACTAATAAAAAACGAAATCTCCAAGACTGCTCTTTATTAATAGAGAAATATTCTACGTATTTCATTTGTTTAAAAAATAGCCGAAGGACCCTATATAAACTCTCGACAGCCCTGAGGTTGCCACAACAGCGTGAAAAGTAATAGTTAAACCTTCACGTTTCTTAACAATATTTTGGGATTCACATTATTATCCAGAATGGATAGAAATTATAACACCTATCTCATCCTGTAAACTTTAACAACATGACAGGCATTTAACTTTTTATCATAAATTTCATTAGAAAAACTAGTCAATTTATCACATCCGAATTTAATTGTTTCAAATAATATCTGAAATGTTTTCATTAAAATGCTATTTATTTTGAAAAAATATACTGAATCGTTATGTAATCTCATTATTACTATTTTATGTTTAAGATTTCTTTTTCTATCAATATTGTAAACTAATGAAAATACTATATGTAAGGTAGCATATAATATATTGCTTTATATTTTTGCTTGCAATATTTGAAGCAATTAGATCAATTTAAAGTTCAAAATAAAATTAATTTTGAACTTTAAATTGATCTGATTATTATTATATATATATAACATTAACTTAAGACTCAAGAGATACATCACAAACGTCATAAATGAGATGAATTTATGTAGTCTATTTAATAATTTTTACGAACAGCACTCACATTAAGAGGAAATTCATCATATATTTTTATGAATAAGTAATAATTGCTGTTCAAATTCTACATAATTAAGAAATACTGTATATAAAGTGGTAATGAATATTTTATTGATTTATTTTTGGGTTCTGTCTCTAATTTGACATGTAAGACAGCGCTTGATGAATTCGTTTTATTAAAATTTCCTCTTTTTGTCATTAAAGAATTCGATCCATCTTCATCCTCCGCTACTCAACTAATCTCTTGTGTTTTACAGTGAAGTATACCCAAACTGAGATAGGCGTTATAAAAATTATAAGATAAATTTAATGTTATATTATTAAATATTTAATATATAACCTACTTTTATGTATTTATATATATGCATATAAATATAGACTTCCATATGGTATTTAGGAAAGTAAAGCGACGTTGAACGTTGCTATGGCGACGAAATTGTTGACACTTGGGGTTCGTCTCGTCATTAGGCATCGTGACATCTAGAATGATGGAGAATCGACTTAGCTTCTTAATTACTAGATTCAATTATCTTTACCGAGAAAAGAACTTCTGAGTAATTCATAAAAAAAAGATTAGTGATTAAATAAAAGCATTTGAAATGCGTAGCGGAGAGAAAAACGCCAGTTCATTACACAACGATAAGAAAGACTCGTATGTCAAAAGAGCGCAATTGTCGTCAATCTAATAAAATAAGCATGGGTTATATAATTAATTAAACTAATTTTCGTTATTAAAATAATAAGACAAAACCTAATTTTCGTTATAAGCTTCACCGAAACGGGGGTTAAAAAATGCTAAATGGTATCACATGACTCTATTTAAAGTGCTATTATAATATGAAAAAAAAAAATATATATATATATATGTTTATATATTTAAGGGAAAAATAACGTTAGTTAAGCCATTAAAATACAGAATTTTTGCCTAAAATAGTTTTTTAAAGGATTTTTAAGTTTCAAAAGTATTACGAGATCACGTGCCGTTACTGATTTGCATCCGTTTTTGAATAATAAATATTTTATTAAATGTTCGAGTTTTTACGTATGGAGCGTTTGCATTAATATCCGGCTGGTGATTTCATTAACGATTACGACGTTGAATACGATTATTAGTGAATGGTGATGAAATAGAGATTAAGCGCGGAAATCAAATTACGAAATAAAAAATATTGTGGAAATTAATTTTGAAAGTTTTTAATCCCAATAAAAGTAAATCGACAACGGAACCTTTTTACAGGAACAGGATGTTACACTTCCCGGCTAATCACTACCAGAGACGTCAATTTTCAGATTCGATTTTTAAAATATCGTACAGTCAATCAATCGATTCAACTGTCATCTGGTACTGTAAGGGGGCGTATTTAACCACGTGGTCAATCGCAGCGTGAATTCTCAGCTGACAGCAAAGTTTTCTGCGAGTTAGACACGGTAGTGCGCTCGTTGTCTCAAAGATCTGCATGTTATAAAAGGACAGGTGTTCTTGTCATTTAACTAATTACCTGCACTTGATGTACAAGTACAAGCAGGTCAAATTTGCTTTTCTTATATTATCTTGATGAAGTCAATGGTGATTTGTTCATTTTAAACAGATGTGAGTGTGCATCTGTTATGAAAAATAATAATGTTGACATTGATATTTTAAGATTTAATTTTGATTCTTGAAAACATTTGATTTCAGCCATCTGTTAGAGGAGAATGAAGGTGAAAGTGCATATTATATAGGTGATTCCAGTGTGACAGAACCATTACTCACTGATTCAAAAGATTACAATGCTAATCAATCTAAAGTTACTTTTCAACTTGGTAAGTTTAAACTGTAATTAAGTGCTAGTTGCAGATAAAAATATTTTTTTCAATAATAACTTAAACAAGATGTTACTTAAAATATGTTTAAAAATTTAATTTTTAATGAGATACATTGAAATAATGTGCTTATAACAATAATTTTTGTTGCAATGATTAATTTTTTTAATTAATTAATTTCACTTAATGGGATATTACATAACATAAATTAATTTTTATCAAAATACATATAATTTGCAAAATATATAAAGCAGTAAGGGCATAAAAAAATTTAAACAATAGTGAAGTATTATTCTACAGGAAAGACAAAGTCCATTAGTTGAATTTGTGCATCGTGCTGTTAGAGTATCAGTTTTATTGGATACTGTTCGATTAGAGCCATATATGTCAATACAAAAGTAATAAAAGTGCTATAAATAGTTAGATAACTTCTTGTATATATTTTTTTTATCCTTGAACAATAAATAAGATGGAATATCATTCTTAGGTGAAGAAAATGTGAAACAAGTAAAAGATGTAGATGATGATTCTAATCAAAAACCATTGAGTAAAAAGTAAGTTATTTTAATCTTATATTTTTTATGAATAGTTTAAATTCTTAAATAATTATTAATAATTTTTAGAAGTGATCATTATCATCATCATCATCACCACCGGAAACATCGTCATCGACATGAACCTCTTCAGAGATTACAATCGGGTTCAAATCTTGAACAAGACAAATTTTCTTCCCATCAAATTATAGAACCAGAAGAAGCTGCAATGCTTCAAACTGCTGATTTGGATGATTTAGCAAGTATGAAAATTTTTAATTGAAATTTTATAAATATGAGCAATTCTTCANCAATTACTCTTGTGTTTTTTACTTTAGGGGATAAATGGTAACTACATAGAAATGGACAAAGCTTGGCACCATAATATATGAACAAACATGATACCAGTAACCATTTAGTACATCATTAGTCTGTGTTTGTCTTAAAAATATCATTTAAAATCACTTTCAAGTCAAAGTTTTCAGCTTCAGTTACCGCATGATTAAATAAGACATCTAACTTCTATGGTCACATCCAATGTTCCCTCTAAGCTGCGCGGCCGCGCACTGCTCAAATTGTTGCCACGCACGAGAATTTATGTGCCACGCAGGCGAGCATGCACACCAATTTGAATTATTGTTTACTTATTTCTCACTCTGTCTGCAACATAATTATTGCTGTGTATATTTCGATTAAATATATTAAATCATTGACAAAAGATAATATTTCATATAAAAGTATGTTTTAAAATGAATTTTTTAATCTCTACTTTATAATTAATTATTTTAATTTTTATAGGAAAAAATAAGATTTTATATATAAATGCTCAGAAAAATTTTTTGCTCAGAATCTGCTCAGCAAAATTTTTTTTTGCTCAGAGAAGTATATGTTCCACTCATCTACAAAAAAAATTAGAGGGAACATTGCTTGTGACTTCGAAGGACCACACAAAAAAGCCCTCATGAGTTGTGTTGCTTTGCAATTTCACCTACTTCAAAGAGAAAGTCTAGAAAGGACAATATTTGCACAATGGTTCCACAAAGTTTTGTTTACTTTGCCTGCCATTAGTGTTTGTAACATTGTATCATGTTTAAGCTCACCACCTAACATTACACATAAAATTAAGCAAAAATTCAACATGGCATGTGTGTCGAATGTTATAACTGCTGAAACATCTTGAAAAATGTACACAAAAGACACTAACTACATACAGAAGTGCATCATCAAATAATGGAGCAAATTGAATTATCAACCTTTGCATACTTTAATTTGCACCAATGACACAATTTTTTCACAACCCTCTAAAAAAATTTTGGTTTATAACAAAATAATCTAGTGGCATATTACATCTGTCAGTTGAGTAATAATTGTGGAAACATTTTTTTTATAATCTACTGTTCACAGGGTGACCCAAGTCAGTTAACCAAGATATTGCTTTCATATTTAGCAGCAAAAGTTTATTTTGTGCTAAAAAGTAATTATAGAATTATAGTACTTTTTATATATAAGGACCGTTCAAATGAAATAGACTGCATGTGCTGCCAGAATATTTNTGATTATTCCGTTTTATATGAATTCCATGTTGTACGAGTCACTTAGATTTTACAAATATGTGAGCCATTCACAGCCTGGTGCACATATTTGTAAAATCTAAGTGACTCGTATAACATGGAATTCATATAAAACGGAATTATCAACAGTGTTATAGGGGGGGGTCGACTTGTACAATAAATATACACATGCCAGGTTTTTATGTTGGATATACAGTATATACAAATAATGCAATCAAATGTTTCTGCAGGAGAGAGCATAAGAGACAGCAACATCAGCAGCAATTATTGTGACAATTTATTCCTATTCTACACACACATGCACAGAAACAAAAGCAACTAGTACAGTCGCCACGTACCCGGCTACCCCAGACACACTGGGATAAAACTGGGACATAGCAGATTTTACCCGAAAGATACTGGACGTGGCTTTTATTCTGCCGTCAATAGAAATACATTTAAAACGAGTAAACTGAAAAAGTAGAAACAATTTTTGAATAAATTCTACGTCGCTAGATGGCAGTCCGAAAAAAAAAATCCGGACATCTGGCAACACTAGAGCCTAGTTGACAAACTTTTGGCCCCATTTCCTACACCGTAACACTAATTCCATTATCCACCGCGGTAGAGGCGCAGCGATCGTGCGACACGATTCGAGATTAAGGTTACACGCTGTACACATCGACTGTATATCAAATTATTCAAACTTCAAGACACCATTAAAAATAAAAATTGCATTATAGTGAACATTTTTTTTTTTTAGTTAACTGTAAAAGTTGGCGACCCCACAGAAAGCCCGTCGCGACCCCCTTCTGGGTCGCGACCCATAGGTTGGGAACCCGTGCTTTAGAGTATGAAAACAATGAGTTTTTTTGGTGTTATATTAAAAAAAACCAATAAAATACTTTGAAAATGCGAAAAATGTTCAAAATATTTTATTAAATGTGTTTTTTGTAACTATAACACAAAAAACAGTTATTAAAATCTCAACACCATTCTTGCATTTCCAACAAACACATTAAAAACAAATGTTTTCGGCATATTTCATAAGCCTGCATCAGGTTTCCAATCTAGCTTCAATCTGTTAATGCTTCAAATTAGAATGTTACTTGCTAAGTGACATTTTTTCAAGGTATAGAACATTCTATATTTCTTGTGTGTTCAGAATTAAAGCTAATTTTAAAATATAAAAAATTAAACATCACTTATCAAACAACATTCAAGTTTCAAGCATTATCAAATTGAAGCTAGATGGAAACCTAACATAGGCTTATGGTTTGCTTTGTTTGAGTTACAGCAATGCAACTCTTGTACAATCTGCCTAGGGGGATGCCTTCTGAGAGTCTTTTTAAGGGAAACTGGCTCCTATTTAGGCATTACAGACGTGGAGAAAACCCAGAAAACTCCACGTGGCCAGCCCATCCAGATGAGGCGCGAACCCACAACCAAACTCCCAGTGTTCAGGGTACAAAGACTGCTTGGCCACTGGTGGGCCTCATAGGCTTATGAAGCATGCCGAAAACATTTGTTTTGTTAATTCGTTTGCTAGAAATGCAAGGATAATGTTGAGATTTATGTTAATCATAGTTCCGGCTTTCTTCATTGCTTTCAAAAACTTTTTGTTTTCATAATTATCTTCATATTAGTGTATACCATTATTTTATAAATTTAGAATAAATTTAATTGATATCCATAACATGGAATATTAAGAACTTAAAGAAGTTTTTTATATAGAAGAATTTAATGAATATTTGATCTGAATATATGAATACTCGGAACAGTATTAATATTAAACAGTATTGAAAATCTTTTTCTAGAATTGTATTGCAAATCTATATAATTTTTTTTTATTAAACAGTTAAATTTGTTCATCATTGTTAACACAAAAATATTTGTTAATAGTAAGATATACAATTATTATATACAGTAAACAATTTTCATTATTGATCAAAATAGTGNGATATACTGTAATCCTTTGTAGCCTCCAAGTCTATATGATTGTTGTAATTTCTAAAAAGTCAGATTATAGTAGGGTTCCTCCTTTACCTTGTTACTCATGCTCCTTACTATCTTGTAACATGTTCCACTTAGATATTTTTTTTATAATTCATCACATTGTTGTCACTACTATCTGTATTCCCATCTTCTGACAATCGTTCTACTAATGACTAATTAAAACAAAAATACTTATTTCTACTTGTGAAACCATAAATTTTTAAAATATCCTAAATGTTGGATATGAGTTAAATTTATGAAAGTTGTTTTTGATGCTGTTAAAATGGAGTCATTTCAAAGCTTCATTGGTAAATAAATTTGTTTAATTCTTATTGTTTTTAATATTTTTATTCATTAATTAAATAACTAACTGATACACTTGTATTACCAAACAATATGACATACCTTTTAATCATTTTGAATTTCTTCTATAATAATTAAGAAAATTAAGATTAATCTGAAATAAAACACTTCAGTCAATTTATTTACTTCATAAAGCATAAGACATAGTTAAATTAACATGTTCAATTTTCTTTTCATTAAGAATTCTATTAGATTACAATTTCTAATACATTATTGATAAATAGAATGTATAGTTATGATTTTCTGAACTTTAATATGTTTTTGAAACATGTACTGTACTGTTTTTATGGTCAATGACATAGTTTTAAAATTAATGTTTGTTGATTTAGAAATTTTTCCAAATGTAATTTTAGTACAACATTTATCTTAAAAATTAAAGCATAGACCATTTTCAGTTGTGATTTATTATAAAACTAATTATTTTTTCTCATTTTTATACTTACATAAATTTATTCATTTTTACAAATATTTTTTAATAAACTTTTCAGCTGAAATAATCTAGTGCAAAAAGTGTAAATTTAATACAGTCAGATAATAAATTAATTCTTGAAGTTAGGATCCATTGATGTTGCTAATTCATAAAAGCTTTTTATGAATTAGTGGCATCATAAGCGAAGTGATGCATTAATTAATTTAATATTACAAGTTATTACTTAGTAATTTAAGCTATTTTGTAAAAATCATCAGTTGGCTTGTACTTAATGAAAATTTGAAAATGTAACCAAATTATATTCAAAGCAAGACCTGAAAATAATGTACAAAAGAAGCTGAAGTGCTTCAATAAGAATTGCCATGAATTTCATCTAGAAGATCATTGGCTAGTTCTATGGTATGAAGAATTCACTGTCTTGAGTTTGAGATTATGAAAATCATGTGATCTGATGAAAACAAGCTCTATTAATGGCTAAAGCCATAAGAATGCATTCTATCTGGAATATGCATGTATATTTAATGGACTTTTGAATTTTGAAACAATAGATTTTTGCAAAAAATGTCAAACAGGATTAAATGCCAAACAGATTTATTCCATAAAAATAGAGTTCTGTTTTCGTCGGCAACATATATAATGTCTAAATGACCTTGAATGGATGTCTGATAAATCAATGTATAATTGGTAAAACTGAAACAAAGTCAACTGGACCAGATAATGACTTTGAATTTTATTGTACACATATTTTGAATTATCTGAACTAAAATATTTGCAGAATCCTATTCTCTTGGTTGGGAACTGGACTTGACTTCAAATTATGTGATACTTCGAATCATCTTATATTGAAATAATGAGATTTTACTGTAGATAGATAAATGATAAGTTTCATACACAAAAAGAAATCCATATCTACTTTAGATTCGAT